GAAAAAGATTAGTAACATCTGACAATTTAAAAGTTGTATTATTTCGAGCAACGTTACCTTTAACTCCGGCCCATACTAATTCAATCAGATTTAGCTCGCAATGATACGGTGGTAGGCGAAGTATTTTAATTCCTCGTTTTTTGGCTATCTTCTTAAAGACATTTTTTATAATTTTTTTTTATTAATTTTAGCAAGCTCTAATAATTCTGCTATTGTCATTGTATCGTCAAAGATTAAATTCTTAGAAGTTAACCAGATTGCAATTTCATCTTTCCTCCATTGAGTAGTTGGTAAACGTTCAACTAATCTAGAGTGGTAACTTGCATTGTCCATCACAAAAACTGAATTTTTAGGTATGAATTTATTCATCTGTTTGGAATATTCTTCAAACACGTCTCCGTTTATCTCGTCGTAATAATCACATGTCTTTTTTAAATCAAACAAAAGTAAACTTTATTTAAGAAATCCATTCTTATACCTATATGGGTAACAATTAATCATCGACCTTTACCTGTTGGTTGCTTGAAACCAGTTGAATATCTTTTGAGAAATACTTGTCGACATGTTTTTATAGTTTTGTCTTTCCAAAATCTCCCTACAGTATGCCCTTAAGTAACCCAGGTTTCGTTTAATAATAAATGTTCTTATTTTTTGTCTCCATTTTTTTTATTTTTCTGAGGTAGTCCGTCTCCAACACACAATTTCTTTGGAATCTATAAGTATTGATTTCCTGCCAACTTCTTCATACTTAAAGTCATTTATTTTGAGTAAATCGGGATAATCGTTAATGGCTTGTAAAACTTTATCTAAAGTTGGTATTTGTTTATTAAAAAAAAAAAAATGAGTGGACTATTCTACGAATTGCATTTTTGAAAAATTCATCCACATTCACTTTCGACAATTTTGGTCTTCCTGTTTTCGCTTTGGGTGGGCTTATACCAGCTGATTTTCCCTCTTTTAAAATATTCTTCTTCAGCCTTCATTTATCCAATGTTGGACATAGACCTGCTCCAATTGCTTCCACGCTTCCCTATCTTTTGCAATTGTCATCCACTGCTTTCCAGCTACAGCAGTTATATCGTCTATCCATATCTTTTTAGGTCTTCCCACGCTTCTTTTTTTTCTCGAGGTCTCCAGAATGTCACTTTATGAGACTATCTGTTGGTGTCTTGTCTTGCTACATGTGCTACCCATTACCATCTCAATGTCGCTATTTTTCCCATGATGTCGGTTACTTTAGTTCTTCGACGTATTTCGGTGTTAGGAATTTTGTCTCTGAGGCTTATATTTAACATGGCCCTCTCCATGGCCCGTTGAGTTACTCTTAATTGTTCTGCCATTTTTCTTGTTATGGCTATAGTTTCCAATCCATAAGTTGCAACTGGTAGTATACAAGTGTCATAGGTTTTTCGTTTTAAGTGAATTGGGATTTTTCTGTCTTTTCAAATGAAGCTCAACTTACCAAAAGCAGCCCATGATAATTGTGTCCTTCTTTTAATTTCTAGGGTTTGAATTTCCTTTTCGTTTTTAATTGCATGTCCTATATATAATATATATATATATATATATATATATATATATTGTTCTACCTTTTCTATATTGATGTTATCTATCGTGATGATTTCTAGGCTGTTGCTTAATATCTTTGTTTTGTCGAGATTCATTTTTAATCTTATTTGATTCGATTTGTGATTTAAATCTTGTAGCATTGATTTTAGTTCATGGATATCTGTGCTTATTAGTACTATGTCGTCTGCAAAACGCAAATGGTTAAGATATTCTCCATCTATTTTTAATCCATTTTCAGCCCAATTTAGTTGTTTGAAAACATTTTCTAATGCCAAAGTAAATAACTTGGGTGAGATAGTTTCCAGACAGTTTCGAGATCATCATCTATTTTTACGTGAAAAGTAGCATCATCGTATATATTCTTAAGGAGGGCAGCATATCTTGAATCTACTCTGGCGTCGTCCAATGCTGTTAAGAAAGCCCATTTCTCGATACTGTCGAATGCTTTGTGATAATCGACAAATGCCAGATGTAGTGGTATGTTGTACTCTATTGTTTTTTCAATAATGGTCTGAATTGTTTGCAAGTAATCGATAGTGCTAAAACCCTTACGAAAGCCTGCTTGCTCCACTGGTTGGTATGCATCTAGTTTAGTTTAAAATATTATATACAGTTAATTTTGAATATCCCATTACTTAAGACGAAATTTCAACTATACTATCAACAGTATTGGAAGAATTGTGTGGCTTAAATTAATTGTAGACATTGAAGATAACACTCTTTTCGATAAGTGGTAAATGATTCAACTTTAATTTTTTAACTGGTGTATAATCACACGTTACTTCAATATTCTATAAACACACTATTCACTATTGCAAAAAACAACTGTGCCAGGCCTCTTTACTCGCTTATAATCGACTGAACAAAAATATTCTGATATTAATGAATGACTATTTAAAGACACTGAATCATTTTATTAAGTATTGGTTTTCCAAACACAGTCGAAATTTATACTATTTAAAATAACGTTTACATTTATCGGAAACCATCTTTCACTAATCGATCTTTTTTATGTAAAATATCAACAGACTATTATCTAAATACCTATTTATATTAGGATTCTTTATTTCTTGTTATCTATTGGGTCATTAGTATAAGGAGAAAATAACCATAAATAAGGTTACTAAAATAAACAGATTTATATAAATATAATATGCTTTGAAAATGGTTTAAATATCTAATAAACCTAAACAAATAATGTAATTCCCTTAAAGTACGTCTATGACCAGCTGAATAATCCCTAGCCTACTGTTCTAACAATAGCAGGTAACTAAACTTTACGATAGTCCATGTGACGTGAACAAAATCTATCTAAATGGTAAAACCACAGCCACCTTTACTTCCAAGCCATAAAGCAAAAAAGGCAACACCGCATTCTATGACGTCGGTAGTCCGATAATCAGCTGTAAGGTCTACCAGAAAATTAAACTAATTTATTTGAATTTTAGGAAACTGATATTTTGAAAACTTTAATTCATTACAGAAATATTTTTAGGGAAATTAAATTAATAAAACCTTATATATACCTAATAAATCTATATAAAGTTTTATTATTATTAAGGTTATATTATCAATAAAATAATCATTAGAGTAAAATTTATTGCACTTAAAATACAGTGTCAAACAGTTAATCTTACAATCAAATGCAGTCAAGAATCTCTAGAAATTTTAAATATTAAGTACTTAAGCATATAAATAACACAATACATTAACACGACATTTAAAAAGACTATTAAAAATACAAAAAAATAAAATTTGTTAAGCAAAAACTTAGTGTAACTATTATGATTAAAAAATTCATCCTAAGAAATCAGACACAATATAAATATGGTTCTAAATTAATCTAATTGAAAATTAAATATTTTACTATTTACTTATAACTTTTGTTGAATTTTCATACTCAGGTATACGAAAGTAGCAATTTTATATATGAATAGGTTTTTTGTCATATAGACCAAGTTAAAAGAGGTATACATGAAAAATGTGTTGAATGTAACATACCATTTATAACTTGTATATCGATTTAAAATAGCCTATATTCTCAAAAGATTTTTGAATGTAATACTCAAATTTGTTACCACTTATCTAAAAAGCAGATCTATATCGAGAAAGTAAGTTCTCTAATTGTTACCATCTTGTTAATTTACTATATTGTAAAATCCATTTCAAATCATTACTACTTAATCTATTCTTACCTACATTGACGATTACACTAAAATTACTGCTAACTATTACACTACTTATTACACAAATATTATCACACTCGTGTCCCAACTGATTAATGTTTAATACATAGAAATATACACAGTCACTTGTAATTTTACTTGTCCAGTTTTTCAATGGGATATTATTGTCTAAGACTCTTAAAAATGATTCAAATGAATTTATTAAATCATTGTCTAGGAATTCTGTTATCTCTTGTTCGCTCTTCTTATGCAGAAAGTGTCTTCTGTCTTCAGGATTCCTTCTTTCTTTAGTACGATGAACAGTTACATATGATGGTACTTCAGAAAATATATTAGGAATTGCATTGTCTTTTAATTTGGGAAATATTAACTTTTCAATGTGTACATTTCCATCTTTATCTTCTCATTGTTCAGTTCGCTGAATATCATCTTCATGAATATGTTTGGCACATACTACGGAAGATTTGGTAATTGTATAGCCTTCTCTATGAATAGAGCATAACCCAGTATACCTTCGTTGGGGATCTTTGGGAAACGAAAACGTACTTTCTGCCTGTTTCGTTTTTAAAGTACTGGCATAATTGGTTTTGCTACCAGGTACACAACAATGCCAGGGCATCTGTAACAAAAAACAAAAGTATTATTATTGTTGTTTTTAGTTTACATATTTTGTAACAAGAAGTAAAAGTAATATTATTTTCAGTTTGTTTTGTAGGTTATATTTATACTTGCCTTTTAAATTGTCGTTAAGAATCTTCTAAACTTAATGAAATTTTACTTATATTAATATTTTCTAATTGATTTAAACACAATTTACAAATAAAACATTCGAATAAGGTTAAAAAAACACTAAATTCAACAAACTTTACAAGCCTTCCTATATGAAATGTTAAACAAAACAAACCACGGTCGGACTACCACGCGTTGTTGCCAAATTTCTACTTCATGGCTTGGAAGTAAAGGTGGCTGTGGCACAGTATAAGAGGTTCCTTGGAACCTCTTTATACTGTGGCTGTGGTAAAACCCAACGTAAAATAAGCTTAAATATTGACGTTGTACGAAAAGCACACGTACTACAATATGCTTAACAATTTAGTTTTTTTTTCTGAGAATTTACTCCAGCTTATTTTTAAAATATAATATATTAACATTTATATCCATGTACAAGGTTTATAATTAGTTCACAAATCTGAAACATTTTGTATATTCCATGATACCGTAATTTATTAATCTTTTTATTTCAAGGACACGAAGGAAACAGTACAGGCATTGGTCTAGATTGCATCTTACTTGTAGTTGCCCAAACTGGAATGTTTATTTACTGCGTTTTTTCCGTCATAGGCTGCTGTTTTACCGTAGGTAATAACAATGAATTGGAATTGGCAACAGAAATTTTTTCGTTCATACAGACTTGCATTCAGACCATCTTCGTACTAGATGCCTGGTGGCGCCGATGTAAAAACATTGAACAAGTTCGACTCAAACCGGGAAAGGAGTTGATCACATTTTTGATTATTGCTAATATGGCTATGTGGGCTATCAATACATTGGAGAAGAATAGGGCAGAGTTTATGCCAAATCATCTGCAGTTCTTTGGTGATTGGGCTTGGACGATTATTACACATGTTTCTATGCCTTTAGCTATATTTTATCGATTCCACTCGACTATATGTCTATTCGAAATTTGGAAAACAGCTTATAAAATAAAAACTAAATACGATACAGCTTTTCCTTTGGTGTAAATAAAATAAATTAAAATAAAATATTTTGGCTTTTTATTTCATATCCCAATATCAGAGTTTATTTAATGTTTTTTTGTTCTTTTAATTTACTTATTTCATCTGTCGATAAATTGATACAAAATTTACAAATTATAAAATAAGGAGAAAAAAAAAATCATTACAGTTGAGTCCACGGTTCTTTACCCGCGCGTTATCAATTAAAGCATAAGAAACAAGTCGGAAATTTTTTCCACGCAATAACCAGTGTCAGAAAGTGGCTACTACTCTGATCACGGATTATTGTAAAATTTGACGTTATTAAATAAATAGAATGTAAAATGATAGTTTTTTGATATCATTAGTGATTAATAAATAAATAAAGACTTTATTTATTTTATTTATTTACGTAGTGTTTTGATGTAATAGGTATCAGTAAAATGATTTAAAGAAGGAAACATTATTTAGGTCAAATGTCTCATTTTTACCATTTAGCGGAAGGTTGTTTATTCCTGATTTCATTATAGTAGGGTACATTGTCCGTAACAATTAAAGATGGGTATTCTAAATTAGGAAGTAATTGTGTACTTATTTATTTAGATTTATTTAGTAAATATCATCATCATCATTTTGGATTTACAACCCTGTGTGGGCCCTAGCCTCCCAAGAATTCTCTTCCAGTTGTCCCTATCCATCGCCTTCCTCCGCCAAGGACTTATTTCTATATTTATCATATCTTGGTCTATGTTATCTAGGAATCTTGTTCTGGGTCTTCCTATTCTTCTTTGACCAATGAACGTTTTTCTAGCTGGGTCGGTTTGCTCCATCCGCATTATATGGCCTACCCACCTCAGACATCCTATCTTAATGTGTTTTACGATATCTGGTTCCTGGTATATTCTATAGAGTTCGAAGTTGTATCGTCTTCTCCAGACACCATTTTTTTTACCGCTCCATAGATTCGCCTCAGTATTTTTATTTCGAAACATCCTAACATGTTTTCATTGCATTTGTTAAAGTCCAGGTTTCTGAACCAAATGTTAGAACTGGGCAAATTATTGTTTTGTAGAGTTTTACTTTTGTATTTCTTGATGTAGATTCAAAAAGGAGATTAAGCCCAAAATAGCATCTATCAGCCGTGCAAATTCTGCGGTTTATCTCTGCGGTAGTGTCATTTTCAGTATTGACGAGCGTTCCCAGGTATACAAATTCGTTAACTGCTTCGATGACGTCGATTTCTATAACAAGTGGCCGTCGTATTTGTGGCTGCGGACCTATTTTCATGTATTTCGTTTTATTAATGTTTATTATCAAACCCATTTTTGTAGCCGCTTCCTTTAGTGCTACGTACGCCTCTCGTGTTGCATTTTCCGTTCTCCCAATAATATTGATATCATCAGCATATGCTAGGATTTGCACAGATTTGTTATATATTAAACCGGTAGTTGTGATTTGTGACGTACGTATTACCTTTTCCAGAGCTAGATTAAATAGTACACAGGAAAGTGAGTCACCCTGACGTAGCCCGTTGTTTGTATTAAAAGGTTTAGAGAGTTTCCCCTGGATTCGTACTCTGCATTTAACTTTTTCAAGGGTTAGTTTGGTTAGACTTACCAACTGATTTGGTACTCCTAGGTCCATCATTGCTCTAAATAATTCTCTTCTATTAACAGAGTCGTAGGCTACCTTGTAGTCTATAAATATGTAATGCGTGTCTACACCGTATTCCAGTGTTTTCTCTAGAATTTGTCTCAGGGTTGAAATGTTGATTTACCACCTCTGAAACCATCCTGGTATTGTCCTATTATTCGCTCTGCATACAGTGCCATGCGATGGCATAGTATATTGGAGAATATTTTATACGCTGCATTTAGGAGCGTAATTCCTCGATAATTAGAGCATTCAAAGATATCTCCCTTTTTGTGTATGGTGCAAAGTATTCCAATATTTCAATCACTGGGAAGGAACTTCTGCATCCATATTTCTTTTATAAGCTACTGTAGTGCTATTATGATATCGTGGCCACCTTCTTTATATAATTCCGCTGGGAAATTAATTATTCCGGGTAATTTGTTTCTGGCTAGTTTGTTTACAGCGTCTTTAACTTCCAGGATCGTTGGTTGATTCTCCTCCCTCTTGTCTGCTCCGCTTACCTCACAGCTTTCGTCTTCCGGGTTTTCTTCTTCTTCCTCTAGATTAAGTATCAGGTTAAAATATTCCGTCCATTGATTGAGCACGTCTGTTCTTGTTGTTAATAGATCGCCATTCAAACTTCTACATTGATTTGTGTTTGCCTTGAATTCTTTTCTGTTGATGTTAACTTTCTTATAGAATGTTCTGAATTATTTCTCTCTGTTGAGGTTTTCTATATATTGAATAATAATTTAATAAAATTTAAACTGACGAAAATTTCGTTCACATAATGTTTTTCCAATGAAGCAACCTTTACACTGTCTAGAAATATAAATCGACACAATTAAAGCTACTGGAGTAACGTAAATTTACATTGGATGCGTGAAAACTGTACTAAAAGAATCAAAAGACTGATATTTTTTTGTACACACTTATGACAAGTCGAAAGAAAATGCAAAAAAGTATTTTTGAAGTGTGTATATTTTAGGCAATTCCTAGCTGAGCGCTTTCGGCTTTACAAAGCCATCATCAGAGCTATGCTACAATAAAATGTTCTAATAAGTACTAATTGGTAAAGATTGTAATTTTTAACTTACGTCAATTTTTTAAAATACCACTACAAAGAAGAGATCTCATTTCCTTAAGTTTTAAAATTATGATATTGTAGGAGTTGGAATTCTTAAAACACATAAAAAACATATAAAAAGTCGACACTGGACTTCACAAACACGTTAAAAAATTGAAAAAATTTTTGTCATGGTACGGGTTTTAAGTTACGGGTTTATTAGAACATTTTATTGTAGCATAGCTCTGATGATGGCTTTGTAAAGCCGAAAGCGCTCAGCTAGGAATTGCCTAAAATATACACACTTCAAAAATACTTTTTTGCATTTTCTTTCGACTTGTCATAAGTGTGTACAAAAAAATATCAGTCTTTTGATTGTTAATCTACAGTATGGTAGTGGATATCCAAAGTACCTTAGACTGTCTACAAAGAGAGAACTTATACATATTGACATCTGGTTCATCCATCAATGCCTTAAGCAACATTTAACACCTAAGTTTGCTGTATGTAAAACATCCAAGAACATACCAACAAAGTTTAAAACAGATTTGGAAAGAAAACTCCTTAGAAAAGAAATTTGTCTACATTATGCCAAGATCAACAATATCAACATCGAACTTAAAATATTATATAATAGGATTGCAGGGGTAACCTCTTCTTTTTCAGACTTTCAACAAGCTCTTCAAGAACATCAAGATGATTTAGCATTGAGTAAGCACCTTAAATATGAAAGACTTAATAAAAAACTAAACAAATTAAAATCTGATCGATCAGGTAATAATCAACAACATCCTTTTAATAAAAATAATAATAACAACAGGAATCAGGTGAGTCAACAATCCTCTTCTTATCATATATTTCATGAAAGGGTTAAAAACTTGTCAAATTGCAATTTTACAAAACCAGAACTTGATTTTTTGAGTAAGGGTCTCAAATTTTGTATAAAAACTAAACCTGATTTAAATAATATTGAGTTACTCTGTGTAGAGATTGATAGCATCATAGATAGTTTAAACATCACAAACACTGTAAAAACCAACTTAAAAATGTCTTGTCTTTTTGCACTAAATCAGTCTTATCAAAAATACTATTCTAACAATAAGGTTATGTCAACTTTTCATACACAATTTAAACTGGTTAAATCTATTTCTAATAAAATTAAAACTCATAAACTTATAATAACAAAAGCTGACAAAGGAAACTGTCTTCTAATCATGTACAATAGTGATTATGTTAACAAAGTAGAATCTTTTCTATCCAACAACTCATTTATTCCACTTAACAAGAACCCAATGAATAAACTTATAAATGATCTAAAATCAAACATTTCTAATGCAACTAATTTGTTTCAAGAACTTGGAACTAACCCCAAAACTTTCATTTCTAGCAATCCTTTAATACCAAGACTTTATGGTCTCCCTAAAATTCATAAAGCTAATGTTCCAATAAGACCTGTAGTTAGTTTTGTCAATACCCCACTAGCTTCACTAGCAAAATTTATCAACACTCTTCTACTAGATCTACTTAATTACACTCCCAAATATACTATTGCCAACACTTTAGATTTAATCTCCAAAATTTCTTCACATACTCTTCCGAATAACTTCACTATGGTCTCCTTCGATGTAACAAATCTGTTCACCAATGTTCCCAGATTAGACACCATTCCAATCATCAATAACCTTCTACAAAGAAAAAACATTGACCAAAATAAATGTTCACAAATTACTTCTCTACTCCAATTTTGCCTTTCCCAAGATTTCTTTATCTTTAACGATAAAATTTATAGACAACCAGAGGGTTTAGCAATGGGAAATCCTTTATCTCCTCTACTTGCAGATCTTTTTCTAGACTCTCTCGAAACTAACTTTGTTCATTCTCAACCACAAATAATCCTATGGTACAGATATGTGGATGACATTTTAGCCTTTATAGAAGGCCCACCTTCAGAACCTCACAATATTTTGTCAATAATTAATAATCTACATCCTGCAATTAATTTTACCTTAGAAGTAGAAAGCAACAACATTATCAACTTTTTAGACCTAACTATCAAAAAGAATACTTCCTCCTTTTCTTCTTTGCCTACACTAGAATTTTCAATATTCAGAAAACCTACTCAAACTGACCATATGATACCAACATCATCAAATCATCCTTTTCAACACAAGATGGCAGCTATTCAATGTTATGTCCACAGACTTCTTAATATCCCTATGTCTCAAGAAAATTACAATAAAGAAATCTCCATCATTAAACAGATAGCAAACAACAATGGTTTTCCTTCTACTACTGTTGATAAAGTCATTAGAAAATCTATACTCAAAAAGAGACTAAACCAAGCTTT